AAAAAAAAAAAAAAAAAGTGTATTTTCTCTATAACTTATCCAAACCCCTTTTGCTAGCCCCACCCTCCTTGACCACAAGAGGAAAAAAAAAAAAAAAAAAAAAAAACCTTAGCTGTAAATTTAGTCTTACTTACTAATTAAACAGTCTTTTTAGGTAAATGTCATTTAGGGATAAAAATATGCTTATAATTTCAGATTTTCACCCTTCCTCTCTTTCTTTTCATATACACTCATGTACATGTGAGGAAAGTGAAGCTTATGTAACCATGTGCTTGAGAACAAAAAGCAGGGGGGTGCTGAATCCATACAAAATGGTGGCATAATAGGGGAAATATTTGGCTGCTAACCAGAAGGTCCGACTCAACAGCACATAACAACAACAACAACAACAACCAGAAGGTCAGTGGTTCAAACCACCAGCTGCTCTGTGGAAGGAAGATGAAGCAATCTACTTCCTTAAAGATTTAGAGCCTTGGAAACCTAATGGGGCTCTCTGTGAGTCAGAATCAACTTGATGGCAGTGGTAAAGAACCATACAATGTCCCTAGGATACCTGCTGGACACTTCTGTAGCATGCTCAGTCTGACCTGCTCCCTACTGGTGACCACTGAGTTGTGACTAGCCCCATTTGGCTTTTTTAAAGGTGTCATGTTGGTTCTGTTTGTTTCCAGTGTTTAACTCATTGTGTGCTGCATCTTCTTTGTCCCGTACCAGTATTCTGCCTTTCCTTGTGCTTTATCCCCAGAGATAAAAACAAACTCCTGTATTCATTGCATGTCTTTATTCCTTGAGAATCTGGGCATGACACTCAGTTCATTGACCTACCTGGCATCTCTGCATATTGTTCACTGTATGTTAGACATGGCACTAAGCTAAGACTGAAGTGTCCTAGTAGCCTTCACCTCTCTAATACTATTACCCCACGACCCATCCCAGGTGTTTTCAGTCTTTCCCAAATTCATCAGGATGTTTCAATCTACCCCTTCCCATACTCCCAACCTCCCCCCAGAAGACACACAGCCATGTTGAAATTGGCAACGGACTTCTTCTATTGACTTCTGTTACTCTTCTTTCCACAGACTCCAGGGCCTCATCTTCCACAAAACTCCAAAATCTAATACACTAGACCCAAGTTTTATATGTTAAATTAGGATTGTATACATTTATTAATTCCTATCTTTCATGACCAAATTGTATTGCTAAAGAAGCTAAAAATTAATCAAAAATTTATCCGTGATTGGGTAATCTACTTCTGTAGTAATACTGCCTCAGAAAGGCAAGGAGGGGTCGTTATGAGTTGAATCTAACTCCACGACAGTGAGTTTTGAGTTAGCATAAATACCTTCCCTTTCCGTGGGGCAATACATTTCAAAACATACCTTGGAAGGGTACACTTCAAATTTAAGGGAAAATTTTAATTCCCTGATTTATTATTTGCAAATCATTACCCCTGTCATAGGGGGGCCTTGTGGCACAGTAGTTAAGAGTTCAGCTGCTAACCTCAAGGTCAGTTCTTGTGACAGTCTGCTTCTGTAAAGATTACTGCCTTAGAAAGTCTATGGAGTAGTTCTCCATCCTATGAGTCCTGTGAGGGCCCCTATATGTGGGAATCAACTCGATGGTACAAAAAACCAACAACAATCCCTGTCACGTACTCTTCAGAGATAAGGCAAACATATGGGCTAGTCACCTGGCTATAAAAATGTTTTTAGTCTTAACTGGCAGCTACAAAAACAAATGTCTTACAGCTAGACTGAAGTTTTCTGTCTAGCAATCTGTGCTTTCTCTTTTTAACTTCCATTAAAAAATCAGTACTGGTACCTTTATAATTCCCCAAAATGGAATTTATGAACCTATATTCAGTTTGCATAATTACTATTGTGCATTGAACATGTGGTTTTTAAACATGTTTTTCACACATGCAGCAAGTATCAATGATAATAAGCAAAACACACATTTTTAACAATGATTTGCTGTTGCTTGTTTTTCAAAATTCTTTTCAAGCTGATTCTTTAGATAGATAGATAGATAGATAGAGGCAGGTATAGATTAGAGGGAGAGAAAAAAAAGAATGGTGGTTAAATACAGTGCCTCGACTCCAAAACTCAACTCATATATAGAAAATGTGGCTTGTCATTACTTCAATTTTTTTAAATTATGAGTATTAATGCATAAAATAAATGAATTCAGTTTATATATTTTCTTTTAATAGAATGTGTTTTCCTAATTTATATGTCACTTTAAAAATCTAGCACCTCTAATTTGATGCTAAAGTTAGGAGTACTATAATATGTATTTACTTGTTACGAGTAAGAATAAAACCAAAACCAAACCCACTGCCATTGAGTCAATTCACCACCAGAGCGCCTACTAGTAAGACTAGGCAAAGATTATTAAATATACCAAGGACTGCCAGAACAATGAACAAATCTGTCTTGAAAGAACTACAGCCAGAACGCTCCCTAGAAGCAAAGATGGTGAGACTTCCTGGTGGGTACTTTGTACATAGGATCAGGAGGGATCAGTCCCAGGAGAAGGACATCATGACTGATAAAGCAGAGGGTGGCTGAAAAAGAGGATGACCTCCAACAAGATAGATTGACACAGTAGTTCCGATAACAGGCTTCAAGTGTAGCAAGGATTGTGAGGATGACACAGGACCGGACAATGTTTTGTTCTGTTGTAGGCAGGGTCATTATGAGTGGGAAGTGACTCACTGGCACCTAAGAACAGCAGTAATTTAGTAAGTTAAAACTTTAGATTTGTGGTTGGATGGTTTTCAGTCCCGATATCTCACATGTGGAAGTTGTCATTACAACATCTTTTTCACCGTGTCTCCTTTTTCATTTTCTCTTCTCCTGCTCTCGACATAGCCTGGTTGCAGCTTCCTCACGTGATAAAATGACACAAATGTCCTCCATCTTGTTAATATTACTGAGCTACCAAGTGGTGTTATCTCCTGAGTTCATTTCTTAAAGAAATGTTTTACTTAACCCATGCTTTATTATAGCTCTCCACCTAGAATATAACAAAGCACAGAGATTATTTGCATTATTTGGTCAAAATTGCATAACTTGAAAATTTCATTCCTTAGAGCAGAGATTTATAAACTTAGAAGCCAAATACCCATCATCAATGGATACACACACACACATTGTACGCAAACCTACAATTTAGAAATGCTTCCCTCACTTTAAGGAGCTCTGGTGGCATAGTGCCTAAGGCATTTGACTGCTGCTCAGAAGGCTGGTGGTTCAAACCCACCAGCCACTTCATGGAAGGAAGACGGGGCAATCTACTTCCCTTAAGATTTACCACCTGGGAAACTCAAAGGGTGTCGCTATGAGTCCGAATCTACTCAATGGCAATGAGTTTGGGTTTTTGAGTTCCCTCATTTTCGCACCAACACATACACACACTGGTTTTAAGACTCTAATTCCCCTAGGGGTTACAACTCTGTCTTCTTTATCTTTGGTCTTTTCCCAGCATGTACACACTAGGCGATTGGTTAATGTTTGGAGAATATTCTTGAACGTTAGCAATTAAGCAGCATTTTCTGATAAACGGGAGCCTTGGTGGAGCAATGGCTGCAAACAGAGACAGAAAACGTTCAAACCCATCGAGCACTTTCTGGGAGAAAGATGTGACAATCTGCTCCCACAGAGATTACAACCTTGGGAAACCTATGGGGGCTGTTCTCTGTCCATATAGTGTCCCTATGAGATGGAATCAACTCCATGGCAACGGGTTTTGGTTTTGATTAGTGAACTTTTAAAATCACAAGATGATTTTAGCATCCAGAGCCCAAAGTGTAACTGGGTTGTCCGATTATCCTAACATTCAGGTTTTCACCAGGCTTGCGGGCGAGGAACCAGGATTAGCAAACCATCTGCAAAAGATTCCACAGCTACGCCTTTGGCCGCCACATTTGAAGCCATCCAGTTGGCTGCAGTAAACACTCCTCAGTCAGAAACACTCTCGCAGCGAGCCGCGGAGGCCGGTCGGAGCTGGATCCTCATCGGCTCAAGGCATGCTGGGACAGCACAACCACCGTCACCAAGGAAACCAGCCACGAAGCCGTAGTCATGGAGGCCGGCTTGCGTTCAGCATAGCCTTGCCGAGGTGCCGCCTCCGCCAACACTTAAGCAGGATGTTTCGCCGGGGCTATAAGGGCTCTGAAAGGCGAAGACATGTCAGCGAGCGCCTCAGCTGGCAGCAAGACCAGGCGCTGACCAGCAACATCTACCTGCTGCGAGAGATGGGCCCCACTGGTTTCCTGCTCAGGGAGGAGGAGCCGGAGAACAGAGATTTCCGAGTAACTGCCGCCCCCAACTTGCGTCCCCTATCGGCTGGTTCGGACTGCCGGGTGCTGGGAGACCTACCCTGGACCTTTAGCCATCCTCATAATCCCTGCGGACCCTCACTGCCCCACCTCAGACTCACACGCATCCCCTGTCACTGTGCCTGACCCCAAAGATGTGCTAATTACAGAGGGAAATAGCATGTTAGAAAAGTTTCATTTTTGGAGATTAGGACTCCAACTCTTTTAAAATGATAGATGTTTATTGATCTTTAGACCTGAAAAAGTGAAACGTTTTATGAAAATATATGGTTTTATATAAATATGTGATTTTATATAAATACTTTCTAGATAAACTTGGCTGTTTTTAGAAATCACTAGCAAGAAAAAGAACCTCAACAAGGTGGATTGACAGTGGCTACAACAGTGAACTCAAACATAGCAACCATTGTGAGCAGGGCGCAAGACCGGTAGCGTCCCCGTAAGACAGTAGAACTGGCCATAGGGTTTTCAATGCTGTAAATCTCTACAGAAGCCGACTGCCTCTTCTTTTGGGGTTTGAACCACTAATCTTTGGTTAGCAGCCAAATGCCTTAACCACTGCCCCACCAGAGCTCCTTATCAACTAACAGTCAAAAAACCGAAGCAAACCCACTGCCACCAGTGGACTCAAAGCAATTCCCAGTGGGTTTCTGAGGCAGTAAATATTTACGGGAGTAGATTGCCCAGTCTTCCTTAGGCAGAGTGGCTGGAGGGTTTGACCCACCAACCTTCTGGTTAGCAGTGAAAAGCCTTAGGCACTACATTACCAGAGAGTATCAACTAACAACAGAGCCCTATTAATAAAACTCTTGCACTCTGCTTGCATACCTTAAATAGTTGCTAAATACATAAATCCGTTTCCCTTTATTCTTTGAGGAGCTCTGGTAGCATAGTGCCTAAGGCATTTAACGACTAACCAGAAGGCTGGTGGTTCAAACCCACCAGGCCTGCTGGGAAGGAAGATTGGGCAATCTACTTCTCTAAAGGCTTACTGCCTCCGAAACCCAAAGGAGGTGGTTATGATTCGGAATCAACTCCATGGCAGTGACTTTAGTTTGGGTTTTTTTGTTTGTTTTAATTCTGTACTTCTAAAGTCGTAAGATGGCCCTTTTAAAGTGTGGTTTAAAATGGTGATTGATGACTTGAAAGTCTTAATGAATAAAAACTATTTTTAACTTTGCTGAAAGACCACACAGCTTCCATTTTTGCATATTTTACCCTTACCACTCAAAAAATCATCCAAGATTTGATTTGGAAATTTTTAGTTTAGTTTACATTTCAGGTACTGAATACAGTTTACTTAATTTTACTTATTTAAGACTTATTTAAGAAGTCTCACTTTTTTTTTTACTTTGTTGCTTATAATACTGTATTTAATAAATTGTTTTAGCCATGTAGCTTCAATGATACCCTTTGTGAATATAATTAAATTTAATACAGGAAATTCACTACTTTAAATGTACAAAACAAAAAATCCAAGTTGAGATACCTTTTAAAAAGGTCTTGGAGTCCTTGGGTGGTGCACATTTCATGCTGGAAAAGTTGAGAAGTTCAGGTATACTCAGAGGCACCTGGGAAGAAAGAGTTAAAGATCTACTTGGAAAAAAGCAGCCATTGAAAACCCTGTGGAGCACAGTTCTACTCCAACACACATGGGATCTCTGAAAGACAGAACTGAGTTGTTGGCTATTGGTGGATAAAAGGTCCTTAGCTCCACCTTTAAGGTAGAATTTCCTTACAGTACTGTTACTAGCAGTTTCCAGTGGAGTCTATTCAGACTACAGCCTTGTATATGTCAGAGCAGAACTGTCCTCCAAAGGGATTTCAGACACTGATTTTTTTAAAGTAGGTTGCCAGGTCTTCCTTATTTGATGCCTCTGGTAAGATTGCCAAATGGTGGTTTAGGAGAGTTGATAGGTTTTTTGTTTTGTTTTGTTTTGTTTAGCCTTTAAAATTAGATACATTTTCACCTGTCTGAGTACAAGACATTTAACAGGGATCTTAACTGATAATGCAAATTGTTAACCAAGGCAAAGAATATGGAGGTGAAAATCAGTCAAGAGTTAAGATTTTCCAGTAGATTGTATTCAACCTTTTGGGGACACCTAAACTACATTAGAGTTCTGATGCGGTAGTGGCTGCTAACAAACAGGTCAGTGGTTTGAACCCACCAGTTGATCCATGGGAGAAAGATGAGGTAGTCTGCTTCCATAAAGATTTATAGCCTTGAAAATCCTATGGGACAATTCTACTGGATGGCAGTGGGTTTGGTTTTTGGAACAATTATAAACTGGCATGGCTCCAGGGTTTCCACAGGAGAGGGAGAACAGAATCCCTCTATGCAATAGCAAGATAACCGGTATACTGATAGGTTCTGCAGAAAGTAGCAGAAATTGGAAGTTGCCAAAGGACCATGACTGATATTTTATGGGGATGCCCAGCAGACAGCAATTGCCATCAGTTTCACCTGGGGACAAAAAAGGTTGAGAGTTACAATGTTTGACTACAATGTAATGTGATAGATGTTAGTGGATCCTGGAAGACAGGCTTATACTTTATGGACACACTTAGTATTCCAGGGGAAGGCCACACATTGGTTTAGTTATGTAAACAGCCAAATGACTGTGAGCATGTTTGTTATGTTATTTAATGAGGTTTACCATTTTTCAATTAAGTAAAGTCCTGTGTTTTTCAAGAAAAAAATAATTATTTCTATATAAATACCAAATACACAAACATGAGATTTATTTTTGTAAACTATATTACACTTACCACTCTGTGGAGGGAGCTCTGGTAGTGTAGTGCCTAAGGCACTTGACTGCTAACCAGAAAGCTGGCGGTTCAAACACACCAGCCACTCCTCAGAAGGAAGATGGCAGTCTACTTCTGTAGTGATACTGCGGAAACCCAAGGAGGGGTCACTATGAGTCGGGTCCAGCTCGACGGCACATAACAACAACAACAACAACCACTCTGTGGAAGGAAGACTGAGCTATCTGCTTCCATAAAGATTTACCACCTTGGAAACCCAAATGGGGTCGCTGTGAGTTAGAATTGACTCGATGGCAGTGAGTTTGGATTTTTTGGTTTATATTACATCTATAGATCCCTTTTAATCCAACTATCTATCAAATTAGTTTTGCCCTAACTGAAAATTAACTGACGCTTTTTAAAGTACATATTTTTCTGTTAAAGGTTTTCCTAGGAAATCCTCATTCTTGTAATTGTTCCACATTTCTGAAAGGAGGGGATCTTTGTAAGCATATCTGCTGGTAAGTGATTTGGTAATGAAAATCTTCCACAAAGGAAAATATTAGTGTGTTATATGTTTTTCTTTCCCATGTTTTGAGTACTGCAAGATCAAAGACTTGATGTTTGAGGAATACAGGTATCCCCCACTTTTCAAAAGTTCACTTTACATTACTTTGCTTTTATGAAAGACCTGTTTTAGTACCTGTTTTCACTAACTGAAAGAAATCCAGTGTTTTGGTTGTCTAGTACTGCTCTAACAGAAAATACCACAATTGGATGGCTTTAACAAACAGGAATTTATTTTCTTACCGTTTAGGAGCCTAGAAGTCCAAGTTCAAAGTGCCAGCTCTTAGAGCTGGATGAAGGCCCCTTGACCCTGGGCTTCAGTTCTGACTCTTGCTCCTGGCCCACTGGAGTGGGAGGCATCTCTTAACTCAGGCAACTGCTAGATGCTGAGGCTAACAAACCCAAGGTTAGCAAGTAAAATGGCACAGTCCCAAGATTATCAAGCAATACAGCAGGCCACTAGTTCAAGTCCAGAAACAGTCCCAAGATCGACAGACAACATGGCAGGCAACTCACTGATGACTCAGTCAAATGCAGGATCCAAATGTGCCAAGAAGCTTAAGACCTTTCTGAAAGCAACTTCTTATACACTGGAAGCATACCACATCCCTAAAGCAGCTACTCAGCTGCCCACAGCAGATTCCACCATGCAGTTGACCACCAGTCTCCTCATGGGGAATAACTACAACTAGCTGCCCAGCCACTCGAAACCAGGCGCCCAGCCAAACTGACACATAACCTTAGCTACCACATCCATGGGAGCTCTGGTAGCATAGTGGCTAAGGCACTTGACTGCTAACCAGAAGGCTGGCGATTCAAACCCACGAGCCACTCCTCGGAAGGAAGATGGGGCAATTTATTTCCATAGTGATACTGCCTCGGAAATCCAGGGAGGGGTCGCTATGAGTTGGGTCCAACTCAACAGCACATAACGATAACACCACCACATCCAGAGAGGATTTTCACTTTTATGAAAAAGGCAAAACCAAAAGTAACATTTTGGGTTTTTCTCTCTCTCTTTCTCTCTCTCTCTCTCTCTCTCTCTCTCTTTCTCTCTCTCTCTATCTCTCCTTTTTTTTGTCACAAATCATTAAAAGGGCAGCACTCACCTCTAGCAGCTAGTCAAGCTCCTTCCCCAGGAACTGCACTCAGCCTTTCTGCATCAAGCCACAATAGCCTTGAACTGTGTCTTTGAACACTATATGTTGGTGTTATTTCACACATTACGTGTTATTTGGTATGATTTAGTAGGTTATTTTTGGAGTCTGAGAATCTTCAAAGAAATTTCCCATATAAATTAATGGTAATTGTTTCTTCACTTTACTTCATTTCTGCTTACTTTACTCCATTCTACTTACTGATAGCGGGGGAAACCTGTATAATATTAAACATCATAACTTAACAATATACTTTTCAGTATTTTATTTCATTCTACAAATAAGGTTTAAATTGAAAAACATACTACCACCTCAACAAGTTCTTAATGTTTTAATAAGGACAAATTCTCATGATGTACAAATAAGAACTCTGACAATAAAGCAGGGGGAAAAAAAACTTCCTGATGAGTATCATTGATGATAATTAGCTGGTTCATTATGAAATGTGACTGTGTTTCAAGAATGTTGGATTCCAAAAATACAGTTTGATTTAAAATCAATTTGTTCACATTGTTCAGGTATAGACACAGGAATTAAAAGGATTCACCCTTTCCATTCATACTGGCCTGGGTTGGTCAAGTTTCCGAAAATTTTCCTTTTCAATGAACATTTGACTATGAATCTTTCAAGGTAGAAGTAGAACTGTACTGGAAATTATTTCTGTGGAATCTAATTTTTTTCTTCTAGTGCCAGAACCTTTTTGTTTATAAAGAATCCCCCAGGAATAAAAAAGAAATTTTTTCTCTCAATTTAGTAAACCAAACTGGTTGGGCAATCTACTTCTGTAGTGATACCACCTTGGAAACCCAAGGAGGGGTCTCTATGAGTTGGATTCAGCTTAAGAGCAGTGAGTTTTTTTTATATATGTATATATGTGTATATATGTGTGTGTGTGTGTGTGTGTGTATACTGATAGCAGCAAATCATTCATTATGTTATTGTGAAAAAATTTTAATTGTTACTTGAGGAGAAAAAAAGAAATTGAAAAAACAGTGTATGCCTCATATTTCTAATGATTTTGTTTACCAATTAATTCTGTTATGCTGTTTTGATCAATTTTACTAATATCTTCTGCCACAAATTACCTGATCTCACTGACATAAAGAATTAAAATATGATCCTTCCAAAACTTACAATTTGGTATTATGATTCTACTTGAAATAGATCTTTTCCATTTTTATTTTATGTCAGCTTCCTCAGGGCAGTGCATTCTGTTCTGATAATTGTATAATTAATTCATTTTGTACATTAACCATATATTAAATGGAAATATAACCCAAGGAAGCAGCAGTCAGGACATCAGACGATCTATAGCACTGGGCAAATGGGCTGCAAAGGACCTCTTTCAAATGCTGAAGAGCAAAGATGTCTTCTTGAGGACTAAGGTGCACCCAACATAAGTCATGCTATTTTCAATCACCTCATATGCATGTGAGAGCTGGATAATGAATAAGGAAGACCGAAGAAGAGTCGATCCTTTTGAGTTGTGGTGTTGGCGAAGAATGCGGAAAGTACAATGGACTGCTAAAAGAACTAACAAATCTATCCTGGAAGAAGTGCAGCCAGAATGCTCCTTGGAAGCAAGAATGGCCAGACTTTATCTCGCCTACTTTGTTCATGTTGTCCGAAGGGACCATTCCCTGGAGAAGGATGTCATGCTTCGTAAGGTGGATGGTTGACGAAAGAGGGGGAGGCCCTCAACGAGATGAATTGACACAGTGGCTGTGGCAATGGGTTCAAGTATAGCAAAGATTGTGGAGCTGGCGTGGGACCAGGCGGTGTTTCGTTCTGCTGTGCATGGGGTGGCCATGAGTCGGAGACCACTCAACAGCACCTAAAAACAACAACATAAATATGTAATGTCTCTTACTTTAAAAATAAAAGCCATGTTACATTTTAATTGGTGAAATTTGAGAAAATTTTTATGTCATACAATATTTTTTCTATAATATATGTAGGAAAATAATCATTTGATACTATTATCTAGAAAATCACTTTATTTCCAGGGAAGTTTAAAGAAAGTAATATGAATTCATAAATACTCTCACTAACTTCTCTCTGTGAATGACTGTATGCCATACAGAAATACATGGAGTCCTTCTGGCAAATCTCCTTCCTACAAAGGTATTTTCATTAATCACTCTTTTCTTCACATATGCTTTTTTAAAACATAAACTTATCTACTTCGTAACAGAAGAACTGATGAGAGTTTTAAGTTTATTCATAATACTTTCAGCAATATAAATGGAATAATGTTATTCGTATTCTAAAATTAAAACTAAATAATGTGAGGTTATGTCAGAAATAATTGTTTAATTTCTGTCTTTCTACTTCTGAAATTAGGGTTTTGTTGAAAAAATTCAAGCTTCCAAGGAATCATGAATGTAAGTTTTGCTTTTTATTAATTTGAGTTAAACAAATATAAGAATGTTTTATTTAGATATATTCTAAATTTGGATAGTTGTTTTTCTAGAGAATCTGAAACTCTCTGTAGCCCAGCTTTTTATACGTAAAACAGAACCTTTTTCTTCCTTAATATAAAATGTAATTTTATGTGCCATTTTCAAAGTCAAAGATACCTAATAAAAATAGGGGTAAAACAATGGCCAGTAGTGGATACAAAGATTTCTCTTAATTATTCTAAATAAAGGTTTGCATTGATTAGTGCATGATTTAATTGTGAGAAAAATAGCAAGTGTGATTTTTTTTCAGACCCCAGTAATAGACAGTTGTTATGGCACATATTTTCATTTAAAAATATTTACTGACTGAAATTTTCATACCAAAGATATTTTTTAAAAAATAAATAATAGTGTTTATGTCCACACTTAATTATCTAAACTTAATTATGAGTTTAGAATCAATATTGTAATTGTGTAACTTTAAATTCCAGAGTCCTCAAAAATAAAAAGAAAGATCATGTAACCCTGTAAATTTTATAACAAAGATACTGTCATTATGGAAGTGTTCTTTGCAATTGAGTTGTTTGACCTATACTAGACTGATCTAAGAACTATACTGCATTTTTATATTTAGTAATAAATGTTGATAAATAATAAAATTGATCATCAGTTCTCAATTTTTTTTTTTAATTCAAAAAATCTTGATTCTATTTTTTACTCTTTTCTCTTCTCCAATATATTCCCTTAGAAATGTCTTCAGGTTTCTTTCGCTCTGCTACCTCTAAACCACTGATTCCAACATTTTATCAATAAACCAGTATTTCCAGCTGCCTTCTATGCAGGTCCATTTGGAGGTTCCTCGAGCATTTTCAATTTCCCTATGTGTCCCCCTCTTATATTGCCTGCCTCACATATTGGCTTTCCTTTTTTTATTTAATCAGCAAAGGTAGAAACTTTGAAATTCTCCTCTCTTGTCCTCCTTTTCCTTAGATCTAGTCATTCTACAAATCATGTTTATTTTACATCTTTGCTAAATCTCAAAGGAGACCTGTTTAAGCACTTGGCTGCTAATGGAAAGGTCTGCAGTTTGAAGAAGCTTTGGTTTGAAACCATCTGCTCAACAGAAGAAAGAGGTCTGCTTCCATAAAGATTACACCATTAGAACCCTATAGGGCAGTACTGCTCTGCCCTGTAGGGCACTGTGAGTCAGAATCCACTGGATGACAATGAGATTTAAATGTATCTCAATGGTGTTCCCATATCTTCATCTTCATTCTCATTCTCTGGACCAGCTCGATGGCAGTGAGTTTTGAGTTAGCCAGGCATGCTGCTGGGTGCTTTTTGTATATTGAATCATCTGAGTTGTTAATAGTTTAATATTTTTGATCAACAAAAACAGCAATTTCAAATGGCAGTTATTTATATTACTCTTTGAACTTCTTGAAGGCAGAAACCGTGTCTATATTACTCTTTGAACTTCTTGAAGGCAGAAACCGTGTCTAATTTTTTTTTGTGAGTATAATTCTACCGTCACTCACTCAGTGCCATTGAGTCGAATCCAACTCATAGTGACCCCTCCTTGGGTTTCCGAGGCAGTATCTCTACGGAAGTAGATTGCCCAGTCTTCCTTCCAAGGAGTGGCTGGTGGGTTTGAACCACCAGCCTTCTGGATAGTAGTCAAATGCCTTAGGAACTACACCACCAGAACTCCCATAATTCTACAGTAGGTATATGAAATTTAAATTTTATTATATGTGTCAATTTTAAAAATGTGTGCTTCCTGCTGAAAGCAGCATTTCTCATGTCTTCCATATTTAAAAGAATTTTTAGTTAGTCAAAATTGAGAAAATCCTATGTGTATAATGCTAGACAGTATAGAAATATTCAAAGGAAATAGAAGTCTTAATTATTAATTACCTTGGAATTAAGTGAAAGCTAGAACTAACATACATGAAAATTAATCTAAAGAACACTGTAAATCATTATACATTGTTGTTGTTTTGTGCTGTGGAGTCGGTTTCCGAGGCAGTATGACTACCGAAGTAGATTGCCCAACCATTATACGTTGTTGTTGTTGCTATGTGCCGTCAAGTCGGACCCGACTCATAGTGACCCCTCCTTGGGTTTCCGAGGCAGTATCACTA